GTCCCCACACAGCCCCCGCCCGGTGCTCCTGGACTGGGCTGGAGGCGCCGCCCCTGGCTCCTGCGACGGCCCAAGCCCCCAGGGCACGGGCACGGGCACGGGCACGGGCACGGGGGGCTGCAGGCTCCTGGGCCAGCAAGTCTGGGAGCTGCGGCTCAGCCCCGAGGCCGGCTCTACCCCCGCACCGGGCGCTGCCCTCGGCCTCGTCTGCGATCTGAGAACCGGCAGCGGCCGCCCTGAGGCCCGGGCGCCTCAGGCGTGCGGGGGGGCACGGCTGGGTGCCTGGGGGCGGGTGTGCCTGGTGCCAGGACGAGACTCTCCTGGCCTCTGGGCAGGTTTAACCGGGCGTCTCTGATCAACGTGGGCTTCCTGGAGAGCGGCAACGACACCGATTACATCGCCATGCACGACGTGGACCTGCTGCCCCTCAACGAGCAGCTGGACTATGGCTTCCCCGAGGCGGGGCCCTTCCACGTGGCCTCCCCGGAGCTGCACCCGCTCTACCACTACAAGACCTACGTGGGCGGCATCCTGCTGCTCACCAAGCAGCACTACGAGATGGTGAGGGGCGCGGGCAGGCCGGCGCTCCCCATGCCGACGCCCGGTGGGAGGGCGGCTCGGTGCGGGGGAGCAGGAGCGGGCGAGTGGGTCGGGCAGCCCCGGCCTCAGCGCCGCGTCCTCGTTTCAGTGCAACGGGATGTCCAACCGCTTCTGGGGCTGGGGCCGAGAAGACGATGAGTTCTACCGCCGCATCAAGGGGGCCGGCCTCCAGGTAGGGGGTCTGCTCCGCGTCCCGCGGCTCCCAGTCCCCTCGTCCCAGGCCGCGGGACCCCGTGCCCAGGGCAGGAGCTCCGGTGGCTCAGGCCAGCTCTGCTTTCCGCCAGCTCTTCCGCCCCTCGGGAATCACGACTGGATACAAGACCTTCCAGCACCTGCACGACCCGGCCTGGAGGAAGAGGGACCAGAAGCGCATCGCGGCACAGAAGCAGGTGGGAGCAGCGCTGCGGGGTGGGAGGGGACGCAGGGCCCGAGTGGTCCCTGCCCGGCCTCCCTCCCTCCCTGCAGGAGCAGTTCAAGGTGGATCGCGACGGCGGCCTCAACAACGTGCGCTACCGGATCGAGTCGCGGACGGCGCTGAGCGTGGGCGGAGCCCCCTGCACCGTCCTCAACATCCTGCTGGACTGCGACCCCAGCCAGACGCCCTGGTGCACCTTCGGCTGAGCCGCCCGCATGGCACGCGGGGTCGGCCGTGCGGCCTGCTGCCCCGGGCTGTGGCTGGGCCCCGCAGCGGG